TAAATCTAACGCATTCGATTCTAAATTTATTAGAGGCCTTAAATAATAAACCACGCTAGGAATTATGCTACACGTACACCAGGGGATTAATATTAAAATATCAAATGCTGGAACATTTACCATGGAGCCTATTAACATAACTTGGTAAAAGAAAACACATCAGTCTATGATAAACTTAGATCACAGATGGAAGCTTATTTTTTCTTAGAAAAAAAAAAAAGATGTTATTACGCATCTGGTCCTAAAAGCCCAATAACATTAGTTATTGAATATGTGCATTTCTCTCTTCTGTGAATTTCGAATTTGTCTCATATTAAAATGTTCAAAAAAAGAAAAAAAGATGTTATTACAGATTTAATTTTGGCAAGGGAGAATGAAGCATCAAGCTGCAACCAGTGAAGCAAATATACAAATTTAGGAGACTCTGTTTTCGGCATAACTAAGACTTTAAGGCATAAATTGAAAACACATTGAAAACACATAAGAGGTTTGAAGAACATTGTCGTCAACTATCAAGCTTCAAATCACTCAGCAATTTCAAGTTTTCCTAACCTTACCCAACGACCAAAACATAGTGTAGACTTCAGAGCAATAATATCCAAAGCAATAATTTCCAGGTGGGAATTTCTTCCTCTAATTGAAGGTGTAAGGACAGGGCAGAGCGTAGATGCCACAGTTTCACGGCGATTACAATGAGGATGCTTGCACCCAATTATTAGTCCTCACCTAACCCTCCATTTTTGAGAGACTTACTCTGTCAGAATATACCACGCTCATTTAATGCGATTGCTTCGTTAAGACACGTTACATCAACTAAAGACGCCTGTCCCATTAGACACATCATATCACGATTATGATGATTAAAAAATTCACATGGATGCCCTATTAAGACATATAAATACGTCCACACATGACTCCAACGAGGTATGATGGAAAGGACCAGAGAAAGAACTCTTTCAATATTTTTCTTGAGAGTGTAGACTAGATTATTGTTAACCTAAACATCAAAGTATCTATCCCGAAAACCACCCTCGAGACTTTGCAGATTAGTCTCATGAAGAGATTATAACAAAAGAGGTCTTGAACGTTTGTTGCATCAACAGAAAGTTTCTTTTTCAAAGAGAGTTTGTTTTTTGCTTCTAAGGTCTTTGTCTAATCTCTCTCAATATTTTTAACAAGTTTATGCCATGGTAGAAGAAACAATATTGGGGTGACAAAATTTTTTTACCCTAAAAATGAAGTTAATATATCATGAGAGACTTTCAAACACTAGAAATGGTAAAAAAATTTATGT